AACCTTAAGTTAATTCCATTTATCTTCTACACATGGGTTGTACTGTATGACCAGCCTTTCATACTAGCATTATATATTTATTTCTTTAAAGATATTCATAATCTCGACAGGCCCTCCTCTTTCTAAGAAAGAATATCAATATTTCTTTCCTCGCAGTGGGTCAGAAGGCTAAAGGTCTAAAGAGCTGCCTTCTGTGGCCAAAACCTACGAGCTTGCTGGTATCATGCAACCCATACTCCTCACTTTATTATCCCTTTAATTAGGCTGTGACTAATGCTCCCGTTCTTGTCTGATGCTGAGGGAATTCTCCGCTAGATGATTCCAGGCTAGGGTGTGCAAACTCTGCATTTTTTTATTAAGCAGTTCACCTTTTGACATGTGGGTTCAGTAAGTGCTTCGGTGCTATTCCACAGTAGCAGACCTGCTCCAGAGAGGACAGATGACCAGCCCATGTGTGAGGTGCATGAGGATGAGAAGATCAACATCTACTGCTTGACCTGCAGCGTCCCTACCTGCTCCTTGTGCAAGGTGTTCGGCTCTCACAAGGACTGTGAAGTGGCACCTCTCAAAAGTGTATATCAAGTTCAGAAGGTACAAGAGTTTGTATTAGAAGCTGTCAGACTACACACAAAAAAAAATGAAACACTTCATATTTTCAGGTTCCACTGTTTGTGATCATATAGCAAGTGCTTAATGCAAAAAGCTTAAGGCTGAAGAATTGTATATTTTTGGTATTTTTGCGCCTGTAATCTGGCACAGAGCAAGGGTTTGAGGGTGTGGTTAGACATGCTGGTACAATATCTGATCAAAACCAGCTCGATATCACTTAGATATTTTTACACTGATAGCGATATTTTAGTGGTAAATAAAATAATGAATGTATTGATTGATTGTGCTGTTGTGCCAGTTCTTCTTTTCTGAGTGCAATATATTTTGTCTGGTGTAGTTTTTAAAAAGGCTTTGTTAGACATGTTAGGAGTTTCTATTACCACCCTGAAGTTTGTTTTCCTATAACAGCACATTCTGAAGTGTTTTATTCCTCTTATACACAGCAATTTGCCAACAGTTACAATTTGTTACCAAGTAAAGAGCGAAACATCATACTTTTTTATCAGTTAATTGTTATATGTAATGTGGTGCAATGTCTGCAAAACAAGTTAGTTCCTGTTCTCACTAACATTACAGCATCTATAAACAATTCTTCCCTAAC